TATGTAGTGTGGAAGATAGTATTATGAATAAAGAATGTTGATTTGGCATTAAAATGAAATAACATTTATTGAATCGAGACAGTGACACCTAACAGTGGTTCTCTATTTCCTACTACTTACAATCTTAAAGTTAATCACAGCAACAATATTATCTCATTATTCACAACACTTACATAGATTACTGTCGCAATAATATATTATTCTCATTAATAAATTTGTTAATACTCATACATTGTAGTTGTTATTAGTAGTATCATTACAGATAATAAGAAAGACGCGTAACCACTTCCGCGTAATGTTGGTTGGTTGTATAACGATTAAAGCATAATTTCGCTGAAACGCATTTTACATGCATGAAATTGCGGTAACGTTCAATTCGCAAAAGTTCTATGCAAATGCAGATTTACAAAGGTAACATAATAAATGAGAAGTACTTTAATCTACTATTCGTGAAATGCACAGCCTTGCAAGTGCAGCGCCTGTTTGCAGAGGATCTTCGTGCAGACGTGTATAATACGAAACCGTTTAGTGGATACGTATTTAGTTCATCCCGGAAGATTTCTTCGAGCAATAAATATCGATGAACACAAATGTTTTCGTAATTTATTTTTTCGACGTTATATAATCTTATTTTTGCAATTATTCTTCAATTAGGAAAAGGTAGACAATTAAGCCTAAACACGTAAGTATATAATAATATTTAAAAAAATTTAATTAGTGAGAAATTTATTCGTGAGGGGAATATATCAAATATTATAGTCTACTTCGGATCCTTGTTTTTAATTTTTTTAATTCTGGGCGCTTTATATCTTTCTTAGACGTTTACTTCCTTTTCTATTTTATTTTTGAAATTACACACACACACACACACACACACACACACACACACACACACATATATATATATGTGTGTGTAAAAAATAGCAATATTTATATCAAAATAACAAAATTAAAAAATCTTTTATAAATTTAAAAATCACAAAGAAAGCGAGAAAAATTCTTTGAATAAAAGTAAGTTAATATTAAAAAAAATTCTTCAAAGATCTTTCTTCACGTCGAATGAAATTTCTATAACAAGGAAGTGGTATTGGCGGATGATTAAATAAAAGTTGTCTCGAACTGGAGTTTATCATCGCGAGATCAATTTTATAGCGGCATCGTTCAAAGATGCACCGAAGATTTTCCAACGTTTTTAGTTAACGCTGTTTTATTTTCGTTTTCTTCCAAAAATATAAATTTACTAATTTACACAGTACACTTTCCATTAAGTGCTCTTCACGTATAAACGTTCAACAAGTTTACACGAGCCCTACGTGACCGTGTAAACGCCGACGAGAAACGAGCGACGCTGCTCCGAGTGGCGTAATTTTACACATACTTCACACGTTACTGTTTAACACAATGTATATCGTCCACGATTATCTATTGGCTGCTGATTAATTGTAGAGAGTTCGTCACCTACATTTATTACGACACGCATTATCGATAAAACGATCGTTACGCGTTACCGAGAAAAAAAAAAGGAAAAACACTTGCAAATATTCACATCGCGACAGAAAATATATAATGCTGTCTCCTGAAAAAAAGCCCTGTCGAGTTCTGGAACGATAAAATTTGAAAATATCGAGTTGCTATTTTCACGCCGTTTTTTCCACACCATACGAATCAGTGACTAATTATTCGACGCGATCGTGCGGCGCGACTCAATTACTAAAAAAACGTGCTACTCTCCCGTTAGGTGGTGATCGAAATGCATCGATTAAATGGATCACGGATATAAACACCCATTGAAATCGCAATAAGTCCGCCGCACAGGTGGTTTCTCCTTGCGATTAAAAAAAAATAATCTAATTCATAATCTTTATGAATAATAGGATCGCCAAATTTTTTGTGATTTCTGAAATTATTATTGTAAAAATTCCAGAATGTAAAATAATAATATATCGCTCATAAAAAGATTGTAGCTTTAAAATAAACGCAATAAACGCAATCGCCTTATTCGTAGGATTACTCTTTTAAATAATACGTATGAGATATTATGCAAAATTCCTGTATTTTTTGTAATCTTGTTGGTGATTAATTTTACGTGTATTTGCACGCGTATTGAGATCTATTCCAAAAACTTGTCTTCAAATGAAAAACTTGCGCGTTCGATGTGTGTTTTTGCGAAATGATAGGTGAATAAATGTAGGCTCAGATCATTTGATTTTATTGAAGTTCTGCTGTTGCACGGTGTAAGTCAACGGAGTCATCGTTTCGGTGAGGGAAAACATTGAATACACGGATAAGATGTTGCGTAGTTTATAATGTGGATACGTTCGAACGTAACTGGAGAATTCATCTAACTTATTTACGTATATATACAGTGATAATTATTTCTAATGTACAGTACTGATTTAAAGAGAGTAACAAATGCTATCTTACAATTATCTTTATACAGCATAATCGAAAGAATGTGCTTCGATCGTGTGCGCGGTGACGATTAACGAGTTTGATGCCAATAAGATTTCTCGTTTCTGCGCGAGCACCAATATTTGCGATTCGTTTGTAACGACGAATCCGCTTCCTCGGTCCATTTAGCTCAGCGATACATTTACATTAATAGCAATAAATACCGACGCAAACGTCCATGCTACTTGCCTTCTTCGGGCATTACTGTGACATTTACGAAATCTTTTCTATGATTACGTCGGTTTATTCTTCACGACCTCATACGTCACTTTATTACCATAATAAGGATGGTGTAAGCTATAGATGGGATTGTCTTAATCTAGAATCGTGTATCTTGGACCGGAATGAACGTTGTGGAGAGATGTATAAATAAAGAGTTTCAAATCGAACATTTTCGCCTGCTGTCATTCGCAAATATGTTTAAATATATTTAAGTTTACGCGAAATTTAAAAAAGTACTATTTGCGTTACTACGTTAAAGAGGATCTGAAATTGCAATATTGCTATTCTCGATAAATCTTGCACAGATCTCGAGGTCTTTAAATCTAGCATAATTTGAAATACACGCGGCGATTTTTATTGCGCGTCCGGTTGGATTTGCATAAAGCGTGCGATAAATCCACGCGTGAAGAACCACTCACGTTAATAATAATGTAATAACAATATTTTTATCGAGTACAACAAACAAATAAACAACAGAAGATATATAAAAAAATTGCAAAATTTTTTCTTTTTCAAAAGAATTTAAAAGTATAAATAAATAAAAAGTATATATAATAAAATAT